ATTTAAAGCATGCTTACCTTCAAATATCGCTAGATGAGGTTTCCAAGATTTTGACAACCATCAATACCCCCAAAGGGCTCTTCCAATATGAGCGTCTTCCTTTTGAAGTCTCATCAGCACCCTCATTATTTCAATGTACAATTGAGAACTTACTCAGTCACTTGCATCATGTATGTGTCTACATAGACGACATACTTGTTACTGGTACTGATGATGCTGATCACATCAATAATCTTCATGCTGTTTTGCAAACTCTAGAGGAGGCAGGACTCACTTTAAAGGAGTCCAAGTGTAAATTTGGGGTTCCATCAGTTGAGTACTTGGGACACATCATTGATTCAGATGGTCTACACCCTTCAGAAGCCAAAGTGAAGGCTATTTGGGAAGCGCCTACTCCTATTAATGTCACTGAATTGAAATCCTTCTTAAGACTATTCAACTATTACCACAAGTTTCTACCAGATGTAGCCACTGTATTATCTCCTCTTCATCTACTACTTTGTGAAGATCCTTCCTGGAAATGGTCTCAAGACCAAGAGAAAGCATTTCAAAAGGCTAAAGCCATGCTTTATTCCTCCTCTGTCTTAACGCACTATGATGAGAAGCCGCTTGTGGTAGCTTGTGATGCTTCACCTTACGGACTAGGAGCAGTCCTCAGCCACAGGATGTCTGATGGGACTGACCTGACAGCTTCCAGTACTCTCTCAGGAGCTGAAAAGAAGTACTCTCAATTGGAGAAGGACGCTCTTGCAATTATCTGTGCTGTTCACAATTTCATGAATACATCTATGGTAGAAAATTTGTTCTTCAATCTGACCATAAACCACTACAGTTTCTCCTTAGTAAGTCTAAACAGACTCCTCTAGTTGCCTCATCTCGTATGCAACGTTGGGCAATTGCACTATCAGCATATAACTGTTATCTAGTACAAACCAGGTAAATTAATACCACATGCTAATGCATTGAGCAGACTCCCACTTCCTAACTTCCCTTCTTCTGCCCTATACTACAAGATGTAGTGCTAATGTTTGAACATATTCGGATACTATAGTTTCAGCTGATGACATTAAAATGTGGACAGGTAAGGATCCAACCTTATCAAGGTTGCATCAGATATTACTCACTGGAGGGGAGGTACCTGATGATGCTGCACAACTGAAACCTGATTCGCACTGTTTCGAAGAACTCAGTGTAGCTAATGGATGTCTCCTTCAAGGTTCAAGAGTGATTGTTCCATCCCATGGTCAGTCAGCAATTCTGCTTCAATTACATGAAGCGCATCAGGGAATGTCAAAAATGACGAGTCTAGCCCACTGCTATATCTGGTGGCCTGGATTAGACAAGGCAATTGAAGATCTAGTAAAGAAATGTAAGGCATGCCAAGGAAACAGTGCTCTCCCCTCAAACTCCTGTACACCCATGGAAAGTTCCAAAGACTCGATGGACACGACTTCATATTGACCATGCTGGTCCTTTCCTGGGACACTACTTCTCATTCTGGTAGATGCTCACTCTCGCTGGTTAGAAGTATGCATTGTACCCTCTACTTCCTCTGAAGCAACTATCAAAGTCCTTCGTCGCATATTCTCTACTCATGGTCTTCCTCATCAGTTGGTCTCTCATAATGGACCTTCATTTACTAGTCAAGAAATTAAGAAATTCATGTCTCTCAATGGTATTCACTATTCACTAACTGCTCCTTACTATCTGAGGTCTAATGGTCTAGCAGAAAGAGCAGTGCAGACATTTAAGAATGCTGTTAAGAAGATGGAAGGACCACTACATAAAAGAATTGCTCGATTCCTTTTTCTCTTACCGAATCACTCAATCTATTACTGGGCAATCGCCAGCTGAACTTTTAATGGGACGTCGATTGAGATCAGTCTT